TGTTGCCAATTGACGCCGAACGAATTATTTCCTAGTAACTTCGGCGGAAGGATAAGTTCTAGAAGCATACTCGAGTCTTCAATCGAACTGGAAATGGTGCGCACTGCAAGAGTTTTTTGTGCCGCCCGAAACTGTCTCAACAAGAACACATCAGGGGAAGTCCTGAGAATTCGATATTGTTTTTGGTTTCATAAGGGGTCCCATATGAAGAAAGTTATGGCTGTCCTAAGCATAAAAACTCGCTCGTCACACCAAAATTCAACAACGATGACACAACGGGGTTATTTCCTCAGAAAGAAGTTGCTAAGAGTGGTTGTAAGCACAGTCACTCGAGGTAAAACTACAGTCCTCACTTTCCCGCTCCAAAAGCTCTCAAGAATGTTATGGATTTTCAAGAAAGGGTACTTCTGGAGTTCCTGGCCCACATCGCAAAATTGTGTGCTCCGGTTCAGTTTTTTTAACGTTTGCGCGCAGTTTGTGAATGGGCGCGGATGTCCGAAATTCGAGTATCCGATTTTACATAATTTCTACCTTCTCATCTTGTCTTTTGTGTCTTTCTTTTTCTTATTGGAGGGAGGGGGTGGTAACGAGACCAGCTTTCGTGAGGTGGATCGCGTTTGGCAGGTTTTTACACGACTTGATGGCGTGCTCTGGCGACCACACCGCATCGAACCCACAGCTTGCAAAACCCTTCAATACATCACAATAATACTCATTTATGAACAGAAGCCCAATCCAGGCGAGTTCGAACCCGCACATCACGCTTTGTGGACGCTCTTTATCCGTTGCGGCACCGGGGCCACCTCTTTATGAATCCGCTCTGAAATTCTCATATATAGAATGGCCAGTTTAGCTGACGCGCAGTACTGCGCAAATGGTTGAACCTATGGTACTGATCCTGGCAGAATTTTTGTGGTGACCTCTAACACTTCGCTTCATTCCCATGCTTCGAAATACGGCCCATTTCATCATAAATCTCTTCTTTAGTGAACATTTGCCAACGTAGTGCTTATCACAACACTCACCATTCGTTGGAAATGGAACAGCTTAGCGGTTGAAAGAGTTTCAATGGTAACAATATCGGAATCATAGTGGAAATGTTCTTACATTCTTGTGCACCAGTTTGGCTGTCGCGCACTGCTGCGCGCATGGCTAACATGGTGCTCGTCACCGTCAGGATTAGTGTGTTGCCCTCTAACATTTGCTTTAATTCCCATGTTATTGCCGCTGTCGGCTGCTTATCAAAATCTGAGAACACCCACCATTTGTTTGGAAATAGGACAGCCTAGCGGTTGAAAGAGATTCGATGGTAACAATATCAGAAATCCAAGTGAAATTACGTCCTAGTACTTCCACTGAGCAGCTTTCATATATCTGCATATATAATTCCTCAATGGCAAACAATTTGAGCTATTACTTTTTGTCGAAATCGTGGATTTAGCGGTCGTTCCAACTACATCGCTGAAGAATAAAAACATCTTAACTCACTACGGCCCATTGATTCTGGGCTACAAAATCTAGTTCACACAACTTGTCTCGTAAAACCAATTCCCGAGTTACGTGCTAGAAGCAGATCCCGTGTTACCACAATTCCTGTTATGAATTTTTAAGGCTTCCTCTCCAACTATGGTATCTTATCAGCTGATCAGCTGTTATGACTTTTGGCCACCCACCGATAATGTTCCCATCTCTGCCCCTCTAGTCTATATTTAGAACGTCGCTATGGCCGCCGCAATGAATTGGTTGACCCTCATACTCTTCCTAAAGCCCCCTTATCTTACTTATCAGCTGTCTATCCACTTCCTGCAAACCATTCAACATGTTCCTATCCTGAAATTAAACGCCCGTCGGTACAGTAGTGACGATTACGCAATTTGAGACAACCCAAACCTTCTAAGCCCCATTTTGTAATTGATCAGCTGTTATCAATGGTCATGTCACCAACTATTGTTTCCCATCCTGCACCACTATCTTACCTCTTGGACACCCAGTCCGCCAATCGTTGTGTGCGCGCTACAAGATTTGTATCACTCGACCCTTCTAATCACGACCGTATGGTATCTTATCAAGCTTTTTCACTTCCTGCACCTACCAATAAATGTTCCTGCCGCCCCCAGCCCTAATCACCACTAATGAATCAAAGCGCATTCCAGCGATTTTTATGTTTGAAGAAAGTTCGAATTTCCGGTCATACACAGCACACTGACATACACACACACCCCCCCACACAACACACCAAATCCGCTCACACATCACACACACGCATGCACCACACACACACACACCACACACACACACACACTCACCAACAGACAAACTTAGCGGATTATATATAGTAGGATGCTTGAGCAGCTTTCACATATCCGTCTATTGGTGACTCTTATCATTCCTCACTGGCAAACAACTTTAGGCTTTTACTTCTGGGTGGTACTCGAGAGTTTAGCGGTCGGATCAATTCCGACTACATCGCTAAGGGATAGGAACATCTCGGCTCACTAAGGTTTGGCCCATTGATTCTTGGGTCGTGAAGTTCAGTCGCAGGCACAGTAAAGATGCAGCTCCGTTGTTGCTCCGACTCTTGCATTGAATTTTGAGGCCCTTCCTGAAGTGGGCCCCCTAGGTACTTTATCGGCTGTTGTCACGTCCTGCCACCCACCAATAATGTTCCCATCCTGCTCCATGTAGTGCTTCTTGGAAACAACGTCTACCATCGCTATGACGCGCGTTATGAAGTTAGTAGAACTTCCTTTTCTAAGGCTTATGGTATCTTATCAGCTGTTATCACTCCCTGCCACCGACCAATAACGTTCCCATCCTGTCCTCTATCTTACTTTTTGGAACCAACGTCCCGTCGTTGCTGTGGCCCGCGCTATAGATTTGGTGATCCTTACCTTCTAAAGCTCCTTATGGTATCTTATCAACGCTTATCACTTCCTGCCACCTACCAATAGTGTTCGTGCCCGACCCTCAAGATCACTTATCAGTTTGAGCGCACAGTCGCTTGTTTCGAAGAAAACATAAAACAATCCCGTCAAACAAGCATACGGAACAAAGGACCAAATTTCAAATAATGCAGAACTCCTATTACAATCTGGGAGGAGAGGCGACTGATGAGTTGCTGATGCAACCTTCTTGTACTGACGGTGTCTCTCCTACTGTGGAAACATGTGAGAAAAAGAAAAAAAATTGGCAAAGAATCGAAAGAATGCAGGCAGACGAATAATGCGCGTGCCTGCATACATGCTTCTCAGTCGTCTTGCTTTCCAGGTTATGCGATGAAATCGAGCTTGTTCTCTTATGCTGTAATGTTGATTACTTGCCCTCATTCTGAAACTCAGAATCAAATATCTGTCATTTTTAAGTATATGCTCAACTGGGACGTTTCGCACCACTGTTGGGAAGCTTATAATGTCCACAGATGACTGCAAATTGAAAAATAGTTCAACGACGGATAACCTTCTTACGTTTTACAGGAAGCTATCAACTCATATAATACCGCGCACGAAAAATTTGCGCTGGGATTAGTAGCAAAATGGCTGCGTGAAGGTATTTTTTATATTTGTAGTGGGATCCACTTTTCACCCTTTCTGAACTGTCTCCAAATTTTCAGGTCGGATGCCGAACAATGCAACACGCCTCTTCGAAGAGTTTAGGTACTAGATCGGGTTGACTGAGTTTGCTTGCTTCACATTCAATCGAAAAAGTGTTCATTTGTAATATTTTTTGAAGAGCCACGGAAATACCACCAACAAAAGAGACCTCACTGCTATCTACGAGTACAACTGAAGACATTGGTGCCACCAGTACGAGTGCTGCCACTGCCACCACCAGCTCTGCAGCCACTTCTACTGCAACTGTGGCGACACATGCTGCAGCAGATTCCACTACTTCGACAGTTCCTTCTGACGAATTGAAGGTGAGATCGGGTTGTCGCTCAGGCTTTTGAAGACGATACTATCACTTGTCGTAAAAGATTTACTCATCACAGAAATCTGGGTAGCCCCCAGTGAAAGTAACAAAGGCCGCCGAAACTGAAGCCTTTTCTTCTCGAGTGCAGGCGTAAGAGCGGCTTTTATATGGAGGTTCTAAATACTTTGCTATGCCGGTGGATTTGCTTTGACAGGGAAAAAAGACGTAGCTGTCGTTACAAAGCCACTGTGGACTGCATTCTCCTTCACAGTCGGTGCAACGCTCGCTCTCATGGAGCCTTGAAGTTACTAGATGGCGAATCAGGGCCGCGGATGAATTTGTCAAGCGCGAGCTTTTTCATTACGATCGCCGAATCAGATTTCTGCATGTTGGCACGCCTTCTGAGATGGGCACGGTAGCTCGCGAGATGATCTCGGGAGTGCTCGAAACGAAAGCTTCAAAGGGGGTAATAGTTAACGAGAACGTTCCAGAAATCACACTTCACGATAATCACCACTGATGCCAAACCCAATACAACTACTCACTCTAAAGACTGAGAATAGGGCTAGCTTAAAGATAGAGAAGGAGGTCTGTCTGTCACTACGCTGTCAAAGGAATGGGATCTTTTACGCTATAATTTGCCGAGAAAGTTTTTTTATTGCGCTTGCATAAAAGTGCAACGATGTAGAGGCGTTTGAATCGATATACCGGACCAGTTTCATGATGTGTTGGATTCTGCGGCATTCTTTCGTGAGGAAGTTGCCAAGATCTGTGAAGAAGTAGTCGTAGACGGGAGTCATACCTGGCTGATATGGTGGTCAGATCCATGAAGCTGTGTGGATCAGACTGGCTGCAGACCACCGCACCATCACAATGATTTTCTTTTCGTGCTGTTTCGGCTCAAATATTGTTTGGTAAAACAGGTTGCCGGTTGTCGCACAATAACTATTTCTAATCACCCATCAGAATACAGTATAGAAACGGACTCCTCTTTCTCCAAAGCAGAGCGAGGAAGACCTCCAAATGACGAAGCCTCGGGTCCTGACTCAATTCATGGGACACCCACTTAGTAAGCTTCCTCAACTTTTTGAGTTCCCATTTGTGAGTAAACAGCCCTGCTTGAAACATTTCATCTCAAGGCATCCTCCAAGTAGTGTGCAGATCCTCTTCTGTTGATGATTTCAATTCTACAGTGTCAACACTTCGGGTGGTCTACCACACTGATCACCGTTGTGGTTCTCATCGCCGGTACGAAAATCGTTGAACCAGCACTTCGCAAAGTGTTCATTATTCGTCGGTATAGGACTTTAGTGCTCCGCTGATATCCTGAGTCGCTCACTTATTGAACAACTGGAATTGGAATAGATAAAATTCAGCGAATCTGTTTTTTTTGCCTATTTTAGTTTCGACCATCTGCAAAATCACGAAAATCATTTCAAAAGAGGATCGATCAAACTGTTGGATTGATGGGTAATTTGCGCGTCACTATACAGTTTATAACGTTGCAACTGCCTGGCCGCATTTCAGCGGTTTCCACCCGCGGCCCTTCCACCAGTGGTTGATTTCTTCCTAAATCGATCTTGATCCGATCGCCATTGGTGAAGCAAGACAGCCGGACGCGGGCGTGCGAACGCGCGCCGCTGCACAGCCGACAGTCCCGCCAATGAGAGCGCTATAGTAGGGAATGCAACAGCAAACTTCAAGAGTAACACAGAAAAATAGCATCTGAAGGTAGTGAACAAAAACTGCAAATACTTTCTGTGGCTTAATAACTGAGGTCGTCAGAGAGTTCCTCATTATGCCACCAGGCCTCCTAACGCTGTCACTCCCACTAGCGGAACTGACTAAAGGCATCTCATCCTAGATACAGCTACGGATAGGTGATTGAAGGGACATATCACGTCTGCGGCAAGTACGCCATAGGATTCTAATAGTGCCATGCATGCCCATGTTCGTTGAAATGTGTTGCTGTCTACAACGTCCCCCTGCTGATCCTGTTGCTCGCATTAATAACTTAACTAGTCTCTAATCAGCATTGGCATCTAGATTCAGTGCGCTCTTTACCCTAGCTGTCGCAGTGGGTAAGTTCAGCTTCTAGGAGTCCTTAATTGAGGCGCAAAACTCGTTTGTTCGTGCTGCACTACTGTATACAGCATGCACTCGCGAAATCTGTCTACGACAGCCGTCCGTAATTCGGCGGACCGACGCGCTGTAAGCGTGCTGTTAGACGCGCGTCGCCGCCATACGTTTACAACCACTCTCCAATGCTACGGTTCCAGACGATGGGCTGGTTGAGCGCAAAGGTGGCCTGTATGCCGCTTGAGGCACGAGAAGCCCATCTACGAATCTGTTGTTTATTACCCGAATGGAATGAAAGCAGAAGGACTTTCGTTTCGTTATAGTAGACCTATTGGCTAAGCTATCTGAGTCCCATCATAAGGCCCACCTACATATGTTCCCCGCCCTATCTCAGAGTTTCATCTAGAGAAATTGAGTACCTTCTCACAAGATGTGGAAGCAGCTCCCTTGTGTTTTCCCCACAGCCTCTCAGACTATCGCGACCTTACCACAGCAACGTTTGTCTCAAAGTTAAGAAACAGGGATAAATGACGAAGCTTCACCCTTGAGCCATCACTTTTGGGACACGACACGCATCCTACTTTCCTTCAGAGTTGTAGCTGCTCAAAATAGGATGTGGCCTATAAAACAACCCTGGAAGATATTCAGTAGATAAGTCAAATTTTGTATTATCCCAGCCAAAGGTGCTGCTTCGTCCCCTGTTCGCAGAAACAGAAGGTCGTGTTCGGCCTGATTAATATAAAAAATTTTGACTCTCGCTGCTGCGCGCTGCGTTTCAAATAAGGCGACGCGCTTGCGCAGACTGACTCATCCTCACGTTCGTCCAAAAATTCTACATGTGACCTGTTTTGCCAACGATCATTTCAGCTCTTAAAAATACTGGCGTAGCCTCTTCGTTCACGACAATTCAAACCTAATCCACAATTTTTTAAATCAATTTCCACGACTTTTCGAACCAAATTCATGAATTCTAATCAAATTCAAGACTAAGGTGAACATGCCACATTAAAACTACTGCAGCGCTCCACCCCGACAGCTACGACCAAATTTCAGCGTGGTTATGATTTCTGGAACTTTTGTTGTTGGCCTGCTTCTGTATTGTTACCTCTGGCTCTTTTTTGTTTTCGCGATCGTACACACCTGAAGGACTGTACGTCACAACCATGAGCGACCCGTCACGCGAAAAGTGCTGAAGATTTTGTGCAAAATTCCAAATTTTCGTATCTTTTTTCGACCTCTTTGATTTCACATCCACCGTTCAAACAACGAAGATGCTCATAGACGCATATTTCAAGTACGAACTGACGCCTTAAGGCTCTGCCGCCCTTAGCCCGCCAACTTTTGCGCTTGAGCGTTGAGGAGCCCACCTCCTCGTAACACTCTGGAATGAGAAGCTCCGCCCACTCTGTGGAAGCTATGTCCGCTTTTAAAAAATACCTCTAATTAGTTGTTTATAGCCTCAGCTCGTAGATAAGTGTCTCGTCACTCGCAGCAAAAAAAAAACAAGAAACAGGTGAGCATTTTCCCTTGCCTGTTTTTTTACGCCGAAGTGACAAGCAATCTTCCAACCTACAGGTTCAGGCTATAATTTGCTAACTTGAGGCGTTTTTCAGAAGTGGGCGAGGCTAAGATGGCGGGTGTTAAGTGTGTCAGTTCATAAATGTGTACCTCCGTTCGGTGAGAGGGGAGAGAAACTAACGAAGATCCTTCGAAAATGATGCAGGCTCGCCGATGTGTCGATGTACAACATATTCAGTTTCTGTATATACAGGGGGGGGGGCAAAAAAAAGTCATTCCGGCCGAGTCACATATGAGCGAAGTTTTCGCAGCCCAGACAGAGGAAGTGGATATGAGTACCAGGGCGGAAGATACCCAAGATCTTCCTCTATAAGCAGGAGCCGGCTGCCGCCATTCACCTTCATGTACACCAAAATATGAAGTCATCTCCAGTCGCGGCCTGAGTGGAGAACGCCTTTGGAATTCACGTGGCCTCCAAACAGCTGCGGAACTTCTTGAATGGAATCACCCATGGATAGCTACCTGGAGACCAGTACTCTTGATCTGCAAGACCTCAAACATCGAGCAGCTCCGGCAACGTCGCTACGGTCCAGGACATCATCTTCACCCCATTCACCAAGGCGCGGGTTGATGGTGTGGACCGGCCGTACCTGGAATGGATGAACCGATATTTTCTTCGTGGGCCCCAGACTGAGGGTGTGCGCTGGTGGCTACATCGAGCAACTCGAGGAGAATATCCCATCTTCATGTCGTCGCCCGTACCTTCTTGGAAACTTTGTACTGCTACAGGATTGGGTGACAACACATTTAATCGAAGGGCGTTGGAAAAACTTTCGCCTACTTGGAATGGAAGAACGTTGAGTACCTGGAAAAGATGGAGTATTTAAGCGGGTCCTGAACTAAACCCCCTCAATTACTCGGTTGGGGCGGAGCTCAACAGGGTGGCTCTAGGTGGCGGAAAAATGAACCGAATCTCGCTCAACTCCGGTACCCACTCACTTTCGCGCGGCCGAATCTCTCGATGGCGCTCCTCCAGAAGGCTGTGGCGGAGTATCATTATAGTATTTAATGTGCTCTTTAATATGGTAGTAGAAAATGTCCGATAAAAATTCAATAAAGTGTAACTTATAGCGCCTTGAATGTCGAATGGCAGGCAAAATGACTTTTTTTTTTGCCCGACCCCCCCCTGTATATGAATATGACAAATACAACATGTCACAGGAGCAGAAGTCTATAGAAACATAATTTCCAAAAACAGCTGGCCATGCTCAATTGCGGGTCTGGCTATCAGAACAGGGCGTGGGGCAGTAGAGTATTGTGTTCAAGCAGTTTTTGGATTTGATTGAAAAGCCTTGAATTTTTGATCAAAAGATGTGATTTGGCTTGAATAACCGTGGCCATAAAACGGAAGTAGTACACATACAATGAAAAAAAAACTTT